ACATGAAGGACATGGGCATTGCTGATTTAATTCTTGGTATGAAAATTATCAAAACATTAAAAGGATATGCTTTGTCATAATCTCATTACATTGAGAAAATACTTGACAAATTCAGCAAAAATGATGATCATCTTGCTAGAACACCTATGGATGTTAGTTTGTTTCTTTCTAAGAATGTACAAGATAGTATTTCTTAATTAGAGTATGTCTAAATTATTGGAAGCTTAATTTACTTGATAAACTACACCCGCTCGGATATAGCTTATGCAGTAAGTAAATTAAGTAGATATACGAGTAATCTAGGAGTAAAACACTGGAAAGCAATTGTAAGGGTTTTAAGATACCTTAGATTTACTCGTAACATTGGGCTTAATTATACTAGATATCAAGTAGTACTTGAAGGATACTATTATGCAAATTGGATATCAGATACTAGAGACTCAAAGTCCACCAGTGGGTATGTCTTTACTCTTGGTGGTGCGGTTCTATCTTGGAAATCTTCCAAACAGACTTGCATTGCTAGGTTTACTATGGAATCAGAATTCATAGCTTTAGATAAAGCTGGGAAAGAAGAAGAATGCCTTCGCCACTTCCTTGAAGATATTCTAATGTGGCCAAAACCGGTGCCTACTATATGCATACCTTGCGATAGTCAATCAGTAATAGGTAGAGTACAGAGTCATATGTATAACGGTAAGTCGCGACACATTCGTCGTCGACATAACACCGTAAGATAACTACTCTTTAATGGAATTATTTCCATTGAATATGTGGAGTCTAAAGACAACATAACGGATCTACTAACCAAAGGGTTAGCAAGAGAGTTAGTTGAAAATTCATCGAGTGGAATGAGACTTAAGCCTATTAAATAAGAGTTACCACAACAGTAACCCAACCTAGTAAACTAGAGATCCCAAGATCTAGGTTCAAAGGGACAACCGAGTTGTGCATGACTCATAAGGATCACTGGGGAGTCAAACTCCCATCAATTTCTATGATGAAATAGTGATGTCTACAGCATTTTAGGTTAAGTAAAATTTTAATGATTCTTATATCTAGGTAAACCTAGTGGAGTATGGCAGAATACTCTTCATAAAAATCATCTATGTGAGTGTGAACTAGGCTGGTTCTATGAGATTTATAAAGGGCTACAATTCTCTAGAGCACTCATGAAACACCAGGTTGTTCAGGGCCAAAATGAAGACAATAGTGAGAACTAAACTGTGTCTGGGGATATACTATGTGAATTCTATTGTTTTGGTTTACACAAACGGCTGAACAGTTCAAGACATCATGTTCACTAGTTAGCTAGTAAATCCGATAGTGTCTCACAATGGAGGTTCAAAGCCAACAGCTATCTATCCTTTACTGAATATTTCCAATTTTTGTGCTCTCTGTAATTGGATCATGTTGTTGCATTTTCTCTCCGTCAAATTCTATTTATGTAGGGGATTGTTAGAAATAATTGGTTTTTTATAGGCTTATTTTAGGCCAACTTTGAACCCAAAATTGAGTGGGGTCCACACGTCTTTTGAGACGGGTCCGAAGATGTGATGTGTTCCTTGCCGCGTGGCAAGTCACACGGTGGAGACAGTTCATCAAAACCATTTATGAGTGAATGAAAACTTGACGTCGTTTTTGGGTTCATGGAATGGACATTTAAAGAATTGAATGTGGGTTTCCTTGAAATGGGTTGTCCCACATTAAAACTTTTAAGAGAGCTTTTGCGAGTATATAAGCTCTTCGTGTACTAACTTGGGTTGGGCCCCAAGGGGTACCCCAAGTTTGTAGGAGTGAGGAGTTATGGACAAAGTAAACCTTAGCCTAAACCACCACACATGCGATTGTTGTCCGTTCGGCTGTGCGGTGCGCAGTTGTGGGTTGGGTCGGTTATAATATTAATTTTGGGGGGAAATTTATTTGAATTTTTTCCAAAAATTCTGAACGAAATTAATTCAAACTTGAATTTAATTTCCTGTTCAATGTTTTCTCTTCCAGTCCAATTTTTCCAAACAGGTTAAACAGCCCAAACAGTTTTCAGATCTGTTGGAACCCGAACAGATTTAAAATTGCTAGACAGATTCAAATCTTCAGTAGTTTTTCCAACAGATATAAACTGGCCAGCAGTTATTTGTTTAAATTGTTCTGCACCTATTGGATTCAAATTCCACCTGTTCAGTTTGAATAATTAAACCTGTTTCAGTCTTATAATTCCTAGACATTCCAACGGATTTTTCCAGATCCAAAAATCATCATTTTGCTGTCCGATTTTGTTCCTTTGCATAAATTATTTTTATATTATTTTTAGGAAAATTAAAGAGAGTATAGAACGCTAGGTTTTGTTCGCCGTACAAGTTGTTTGGAGTGCTACTATAATTTGTGAAGATCATTATATCCTGGGAGATAGACGCCACTTGTCTGTAAGCACTGTAGCGGGGCGAATCTGCCTTAAGGAAAGAGTATTACACACTCGACTTGATCTTTTTATTATTTATTTGATTCGGTAAACTAAATTCGATACATTATTTATTTTATTTGTTTGATTTACTTTCAATTTATTTATTGTACATAGAAGATTGTTCCAACAGTTTCTGTTCATGATTCAACAATATAATCCACCAAAAAAAAAATAATAATTGTAGGAGGAAAGGAAAAAAAAAAAGACAAAAAAAGCAACAATCAAGATCTGGGATTTTACCAATCCCCTAATTACAAAACTATAAATTTACATAAAACAACCTAAAATCTACAAATTTAAGCTCCAATTCAATACATCAAATACAAAAATAAAATAAAATAAAATAAAAAAACAATTAAATGAATAACTCATAGATCGAGACAAAAAATAACAAAAACATCATACACAACAGATCAACTACCAAAGAGATCAAACTAGGATGAGATCGAAGAGAGTGCCATGATTGTCTTCGAAGTCGACATGGTGATGGTGGTGGTTTGTGTGGTCTCTAGTTCCGTATCTGAAAACCCTAACCCTAGGAGAGAGAAAGAGACCGACAATAACTTGAGAGAGAAGATGAGAAACTTGTCAGAGGAAGTGTGGTGTAAATCCGAAGCCTTCACATCTTAGATCTATCACAGATCCAACAGATCTGGAGCCTTCACATCGCAAATTCAGCAATCGCGACGACTAATGTCACAGGCGATAATGATATCAACATCGCTCCCGATAAAAACAATGGTTCTTCGATTGACGACTAGTGGTAAGTCGGTGACAAGGCAACAACGGAGGTGAGGAGAAGAGAGAGAGAGAGGAGGGGTTTAGGGTGAGACCAAGACGAAGACGAAATCTAGATTTGGGTGTGTGTGAGAGAGAGAGAGAAAGAGAGAGAGAGAGAGAGAGAGAGAGTAGTGTAAAGAAGAGAAGTGATTGAGTGAATAGAAAAGTATATATATACGGGGATAGGTTCAAGGATATGTTCGGGGTAGGGTCAGGGCGGGAGAACCTATCTCTGTCCTCCGCCCAAAAACTGTCGGGGATCTATTTTTTAATACCAACCCCGGTCATATGGGGGTAATTTTTGGAAAAAAACTGTCTTATCGTCACAAGGCGGTCTGGGTCCCCGTTGGGCCGGATTTAAATTGCCATCCCTATATATATGTGGGAGGAAAAATTGTTGGAAATGGTTATAAAATTCTGGGTAAAATTAGAATTTTTTTTTAAGTTTGGTCTATTTTTTAGGTGGGTCTCGTGCGTTGATTTTCACGGGTCAAAGTGGTAACGTGTTTTATGCCGCGTTGTGATTCATGTGGTATATTTGGTTGCTCAAAACCATTACCGAGTGAATGGGAAATTGAAGCCAAAATATGCTCTATGGAAATGGAGTTTTGGTGAAAAATCCTTAAAGGTTTGAATAAGACTTGTCCCACATTGATTTGGTGGGAAATTTTGAATAGGTTTATATAAAGTCTGGTTTAAATACCCAGGGGTGTAGAGATTGCTTCAAAATTACCTCGGCTTGAACTCTGTATGGCAGCCCCATAGATTGAGATAGCATGTGTATGCGCCTCAATTCTAGATACTGAACCAACCTAGTCTGTCACCCTGTTGGAGAATAGGGAAAGCTGCGACCATAGTCAGGGAGAAAAGTGGTACCTGCGGTTCAACCGAGAAGAAGGGGAAGGTTCCCAGCAGCATGATTAGTAGTGCTGCTATTGTTTGTGGTAGATCATTTCATCCTGGGAGATAGACGTCCGAATTCTGAAAGCACCGTGGAGAGGACGAATCTGTCTTAAGGACACAGTGTCAAACACTGGACTTGATCAGAAAATAATTCGAAGAAATTAAATCAAGTAAGTTATTTAATTTATTTTCAGTGTTGTTTTTATTTATTAAATCAGATTTAAATTTTGTTTTTGTAACAAAATAAAATATGTTATTTATTTATTTATTTATTTATTATTTCGAGTTTGATTTTTGTAATCAAACAAATTCTCTCATTTCTTTATTTATTTAAATTCTAATTGTTGTTGTGTACACAATACAATTAAATCTTTTAAATACAGTGAAGATTGTCTAACAAAAATTACATATACACAGGTGAAACTCTAGACAACGTTGTGAGTAAGCGGGCAAAATTTTTGTTTTAAAAAAACTTCTCAAAGTCCCGGACTTGAATTTTAAGAGTGGACCAATAGTAAAAAACTTCTTTCTTCGTTCCTTTTGATGCTACGAGGACATAGGCCTAGTAATCACTTGCTCTATATGGGATGAAAAACTACGTATACGGGTGAAACTGGACACCCTCGCAAACAAAAGCGGATAAAAAAAAAAACTCTCTCAAAATCGCAAACTCAAATTTTAAGAATGGAGCAATAGTAAAAAATTTGGTTATGGGTTCCTTTTGAAGGTGTTTCAGGACAAAAGGCTCGATATTCGCTTGCTATAGGGGATGAAAAATTATGTATACTCGGCTTAAACTCTAAACACCATTTCGAGCAAAACACACACACAAAAAAAATATAAATAAATAAAAGCTGACCTTTCAAGGTAGAAAGCAAAAGGGGCCAAGGCAAGAGTGGCAAAAGCTTGACGATAAGCACCAAAGATATAAGGGTTCATTCCTTTAGAAATTACAGCTTTTGCGAACAAGGCCATCCCTGCAAATATAATATTGCACACCACCATGCATATATAAGGCAAATTGTTCTTCATCAACATCATCAAATAAGACCACCCCAATATTGAATTACTACTCTTCGTCTTCATGTTCATGTCAATTCACTCTCTTTGCCTTTGGTCGAGAGAAGAAGACTACCACAACACCCAAATTCCACTATACTCCTACTTATATGAGATGAGAGAAATTATGATAGGATTCGGTAGAGTTTTAGAATTATGATTTAAGAATAAAGTTATTTTAAGTTTGTGAGTTTGAAATTATGGTTTGAAAATAGAAAATTTGTTTGGTTATGCGTTTTGAAAAGAATTTTGAATTTTTAATGTGACAAATGAAATGAAAAAAAGTTGTTTGGTTATAAATTTTGAAAAGAGTTTTCAAAACTTATAACTCATAACTAAACACATAATTCAAAATTTCTTTTAACATTCAACTCACAAGATTTATTTTACCTCTTTGCTTATATTTGTATGTGTATTTATGTAATAAAAGTCATGTATATGTAAGATTTACTGTATTTAAAAGTTAATAAAATTTATTACATCACGTAAGAAATTACATAGGAAGTGAGAATTTTAATAATATGATTTAGTGGTAATCTTTTGACACACACAATGAGTGCAAATTCACTAGTCCCTTTTTCTTTTTGTTTTTTAGACAGTAAAATCACTAGTCTCTTGGCACACATAATGGTGGTGTTTGGCAAGAATATTTTTTGGTTTTTTTTTTTTAATTTTTTCTAATAAAAGAAAAAGTTTTTGCAAAATAAAAAAAATAAATCCAAAGAAAATATCACATCCAACCCCATAATCATTTCATTTTTTCTCTCACAAACATCACATCCAACCACAAAAAAATCCAACTATCTTTTCAAACACAAAAAAAAAGTTTCTCTAATAATATCCTACAACTAAAAAAACTTACATAAAAATCCACTTCCCAAACACCCACAATGTGTGCAAATAGTTAATCATGTATCGGTAATGGCCACAGAATACGTGGAAGGTTTACATTTAAAGTTTGGAATTTTTAAAAACAGTTTTATGAATTTTTAATCCGTATTTTTTGTTATTAGAATTTTTTGATTCATTTAATTTAGATACACTTAAAAAGTATGAAATTTGTGCAAATTTTTTTATAAAATTTCATTGAATACAAAAAAAAAAATATCAAAATTCAATATATCTTCGTATTTTGTTGTACTCAGTAAATTTTTTAAAAAAATTTGTACAAATTTTATACTTTTTAAGCATATTTAAATTAAGTGAATTTACAAACTAAAAAAAAATTGATTAAAATATTTTTAAAAATTCACTAAAAATAAAAAAATAAAAAAATATGGATTGAGAACTCAGAAAATTACTTTTGAAAATTTCAAAAAAAATAAAAATATGTAATTCAAATTTAACACTTTGTATGATTTAGGTTTATAATTTTCCCTTAAACATAATGTGATTTAAATTCATTTTGAGGCTAATTATGAACTTTTGTGATGATAGTTCAGAAAGTAAGTACCATAAACGAAGGTCAGAAATGCTTCCTACCCCCACTGGGGGTCGACCCCCAGTGAGGTGGCGACCCCCTATTCGCTGAAAACACAAAAAAAAAAAAAAGAAATAAAAGAAAACTGTTTTTTTGGGCCAATCCCCCAGTGACACCTCACTGGGGGTCGACCCCCACTGGGTGTATAAATCACGGTTGAAACGAAGGTGGAGTTAGAAGCATTTATGATTGGAGCTCCACTACATAGCTCGAATAGGTTGTGGCTCGAGTGGCCTGATTTTGAGTTTTTATTTGGTGTGTGCGTGTGCTCCACTTAACTCTCATTTCAATTCAAGAAAAAGACCAAAAAAGAAAAGAACAGAACAGAGTGAAGACACTCAGGCCCCCTTTCTCTTTTTTCACCACTTTCCCTCTCTCTTTCTTCACCACTTTCCCTCTCTCTTTCTCTCTCTCTACCCCAAACACACATAAACACAGTTGAAAGAGAACTCTCCATTTCATCTTCATTCAATCATATCTCTCCACTTCCTCCTCAGTCCCTCCCCTCCTACCTCCGTTATTTCCTCACCTCTCACGATCCCTAATAATACTCAAACACACACACATACACAGAGTTGTTCAATACACACACACATAGAGTTGTTTAATAATAATGTCTAATGGTTTGATTTGTGATTTTGGTGGTTACGAGTTAAAAAAGTTATGAAATTCCACCTCTTGTAAATTGGGGCATTCGGATAGTCGGCACACACAGAAGCAGCACGGTAAATCTCCTCTCTCCATCTCTCTACTCTGTTCTTTTCTTTTTTTTCTTTTTCATTTGAAATGAAATGTATGGGTTAAAACTGAGATGAATAAATGGGGGTGTACACAGATATGTGGGTGTATGTAGAAGTCAGGCCATTTTCGAGCCAAACAATTCGAGCTATGAATCTTTTCTGTTATGATTGGTTACAAAATTTTAAATTTTTTATAAATATTTTGTAATATGATTTGTTTCCAAGCTTTTGTGACATTTTTATTAGGGTAAATTACATTTTATTCCTTTTATGTTTAATTATTTTTTCACTTTGACTCCTATATATATATTTTTTTACTTTAGTCCTTCACGTTTTAAGTTTTTTCAATTTTCTCCTAAAACTAACTTTTGTTAAAAATTAGATAAAAAATAACACATTGACAGTCATCTGACATAAAAATATTTTATTATATATAACTCATACATCTAATACAAACTTAAATTTCAATATAATAATATATTTTTTATATTATGTGATACTTATCATGTCATTTTTTATCTAATTTTTAACACAAGTTAGTTTTAGAAGTAAACTCCAAAAAAATAAAAAATAAAAAAAAACTTGAGATATAAAGGGACAAGTGAAAAAAAAAATTTAAAATTAAAATGAGAAAGTGACCAAATATAAAGATGACAAAAGTGTAATTTATCCTTTTTATTATAACCCTTTGTGAGTACCTATACCATTGTAACTAGTTAGGAAAGTGAGAATAGTAAACACCTAAAAAAACAGGAATATATAAACAGGTCTGGACGTTTCATGGTCCAGATCTGAGACAGTTCGGTTCAATTCGACTTATTGGGCTCATTTTTGGGTCTTTTTTTAATAATCAGAACTGTTCACATTTTAAAATTTGTTGAGTACATTATTCCTGTCAAAAATCACGTCAATTGGATAACGATACTATGTATTTAGATCACTTTTATCTGAAAAAATGGACAGTCAGAAAAGTAACGATTTATAAAAAAGTGATCCGAATACATAATATCCGTCATTCGATTGACGTGATTTTTTTACAAGAATAATATATACAACAAATTTTAAAATATGATCAATTTAAATTATTAGAAAAATAAGCTCAATGAGCCAGACTGGACCCTCTAGTCTGGAGGGAACCCCCAGCCATAGAGAGGAATTTGCTTTATGTTCATAGATTTAAGTACCCATCTTTTGGAATAAGGATCTCCTCTTTAATTTTACTTCTTAATTTCCTACTTACTGGTTGATTAGGCCTATTTTTAGAGCCAATTTTGATAATTCGAACTGTTTCACATTTTAAAATTAGTTGAGTATATCATAACTGTAAAAAATCAAGTTAATCGGATATCAGAAACTATGTGTTCTGATCATCAAACTATAAACCATTTTTTAAAAAAATTTAATAAACAGTTTTCCGAACATATGCTTTTTGATATCCGATCAACTTAATTTTTTATAGGTATGATGTATTTAACAAATCTTAAAATGTGAACGGTTTGGATTATCAAAATTAGACCCAAAAGTGGGTCTAATAGCCCAACAAGTAAGAAATTAAGAAGAAAAATTAAGGAGGGGATCTTGATTCCATCTTTTGAGGTTGAAAAGTGTATGGGAAATTTTCCAACCACACTGCCAACTCAGTAATTCAGCTGGAGAGCACTGGCAGAATAGATGACACCTGACTGACCTGCAACAGAAATATAAGAATCCCGCGGTGGTTCGTCCACCAGGGGGCACTCCGACGATCAAGTCAGTATATCTCTCAAAGATAATCAATTATTCAACTCACAAGCTTGAGCCTAAAAAGCATACCTTAGACCCATGTGGGTGCCTCTCTTTTATAGCCAACATAAACCTAATCCCAATAGAAGCCTAACTTTTATGGACTTAGGATTACTGCTAATCTTGGACTCCTAGTAAGATTAGGATAAACTCTCTAAGAGTCTTATCTTAATACAAACTGAAGTCTTCTCTCATTCTAAGACTCTTGTCCCTCATCCAGGTTGAGTTCTCTTTTCATTCTAGAACTCTTGTCCCTTATCCACTTATCTCGGATTTCGATATCTTCGGAGATAACCTCGGCCTTGCCGAGATCACCTCGGCGTCACGACCAGGACACGTGGCACCTCGGCTGACACGTCGGCGTTACCTTGTCACGTGTTGGTACTCATAAAATATATCCCCACAACTGCCCCCTAGGTTCTATTACCTCGGCATTATGAGGTGATGGAACCTACACTGTTCGTTTATCTATGCCCCTCTGTCCGAGATCAAACTCGCCGACCTCAAAGTTCCCTAGACTTTACTGTCCACTGGTGTCAAGACTCAAGTTTCATGCTTTCCAAGCTGCTTGAAATCGCACCTCCTAGCCGAGGGTCTGGTTCCATTAATTCGTAAACTCCAAGAGCTTTGCAACTGCTCCACTCACACTCTCTGGTGAGTTCCCGATTTCCAGTCATCTATTTGACTCCGACGATTTTCATATCGGCGTTCATTTCACTTGGTAGGTTCATAAACTCTTTACTTGCTATTAAGCTCAATCTTTCATAACTCTTCTGAATCTGTTTACTTGCCATTTGTTGCCTTCTACTTTCAACTGTCTAGTTTTGAATTGTTTGAATGCCTGGCACTGTTCTTGTCATATCCGCTTTCTGTTGCTAGCATCGTGTCTGGGTCATTACTTTCTTGTTCTTCACATACTTACTTAGTGCCTGTGTGTAACAACCTTCGTCACAATTTACCGAATAACCACTGATTACTACTAAACTGAGACTGATTGTGATTGATAACTGAAGTAATTGAACTGATTGAAATACTGAGCT